CTTTGCACCAGGTGCATTCGTCTGGTGTAAGGCCTCAGGAACCAGTCTAGGGGGCGCTTCTGGGGTCTTTGATGGTTTATGACACCTTCTCCACTGCTTCTCACACAAATGCCGTGTGTATGTGGCCTTCCCAGGGTGGGAGGGGTTTACAACTGAGCCAGTTAGTGTAAAAGAGGATGGATGTTCACTACCTCTGACCAGAGGTTATGCCACAAACCCAAAAACTCTCCTCCTTCCCCCTTGGTTGGGGGGAGTGTGTGCAAACCTGGCCTCAGCAGATAAGCCTATGGGATATGGCCTTCTTCCCCCCTAAACCCAGCCAGAGCTGATTTTCAGGACAGCTGTTGAGTTTGGCTTTCTTGTGGATACATTCTTTGCCCTCAGCCTTGTTTACTTCTCCCTAGACCTGAGATAATTGGACAGTAGTGTCACCTTTATCTTATCTCAGGTTCCATTAAGGAGCTTAACTCACAGTCCAAGGTTCTAGTCAGGAGGCATATTCAGGGAGGGGTGGGCTTTGGTGGTCACAGCTTCTTTATACAGTTTTGCCATAATGGGCAAAAAGTCTTTCATAACAATGTTTAAGCTATTAACTATAACATTTCAGTCTCTCACACCAAGTTTCTGAGAAAAGTTCAGGAAACCAGATACATAATGGTATTGGCTTGTTTTTCAGGGTAACAGAACTGCATTTGTAAAGCCTTAGGTACTTAGTGATCTTATAAAAGTTAGTAAGGAAGAATTGCAGAAGTTTGTAATCTGTCTTTTCAGAAAACTTTACTTTTGCTGTTGGTTCAAAATATTAAATGGCATATTTTAGTGTTCTGATTATTAGATTAAACTCTGGAAAGTGTATTATAACCTAGTCAGGTGATATCTAGACCTTAAAGAGTGAAAAAGCAAAATTTCTTAAGCATTGGATAACAACTTGATTGTTTTTTTTTAATAAGCAGCATGTATTTCAGGTAGTGAAGGACTGTGATGAAAAAGAGCTATAAAGACTAATTTGTGATATGTTAATATCATAATTAATACCTAAAGCTAAAATTAGTAAGTGCTGAAAGATTCTAATTTGAGAGTGGAGCAAGTCAAATGAGATTGATGATGCTAGTGTGTGTTAGCACTTTTGATAGTGCTTTGAGTGAACTTGCATGTAATAAGGCCAGAAGTACAGTCTTGATTTGTGTTATAATAACAGAACGACAAAAAAGATGTGAATATTTTTTAAGGTCTTAGATTTTCTATTGTGTCCACTGATTTGATGTATGGCTGTAAAACTGCAAATTCTTAAGTGGTATATCAGAATAAGTACAAGTTTGCTTTGTAGCACTGAAACAAATGTGTAAATTGTTGAAATCTTGTGACTACCAGCAGGCAGATTGATTTTACTCTTTTCTCCTGTTGTTGAATTACTTTGATCCCAGAAGTTTAGATAAATTAGACAAATACTGCTGCAAATTGCAGTTGTCATACTGTTGAGATATATGGTTATAGCTTGTAGTATGGCTTTTTTAAGTTATTAAAAGTATTTCTTCATACACTAGAGTTAATTAATGTTTGGTATTGTTATAAATGAATTAGTCAATTTAATAAATAAAGGAATTTATTAAATCAAATCAAAGTAAAATTGAAAAAGCCACAAGCAAATCAATGCTGAGCCAGGCGATCGGTGTTGGGTGAACTGGGTCCGGACTAATGCAGCACCGTACCCTGGCAGTTCACAGGGTACTGATTTTACAGGGTCTTTTTTCTACTGTTTCCAGACTTAGCAGGATTCTGGGGGGGTGTCCTAGTTTGAAAAGACAGGAGTCTGTGAGGGAAGGCAAGAGCCTCCTGTGAAATGGAAAAGGTAAATCCCCTCCCTCCGAATTACCACAATTTCAAAATTAAAAGGCTCTCAGGCAAAGATATGGGAATGGGAATAACAGTTCTTTACTAGGAAAAAAAACTAAACAAAAATAATAAAAAATGTAATTAGTACAAACAAAACTACTGATAGTCAGAAACCTGACACCCTGAGGAGTCAGGGTGTTGGTAATAGTCCAGTTAAATGGTGGCTGCTCCTCCTGGAGTGACAGATGAAATGCTGCTGAAGCGGTGATCTCTAGAAGGGTGTAGTTTTCTCTGAAGTTCTGGTGATGGAGTAAATGGGCCTGGTCTTCCTCTGGGAATCCAGCAGAGAAGAAAGCTGCTCCTCTGGGAATCCAGCAAAGTGGCTGCCAGTGTCTCAAAAAGTGCTGATTTTATGCAGGTAGGGATGCTTGGCTCCTCTCTCTGGGTGGAGCATCTCACAATGGGATGATGTAACTTTACCAGTCATGCAGTGAGTCATTTAATGGTCCATTAACAGAAGATATTTCCCTGGAGGGAGACATTGTTCTTGGAAGAGATAAGAAAACTGCCCAACCTCCAACAGATGGCAAATAGAATACATGCTTATCTTACAAGCCAGGACAGGGGGGTTTTCCTGTTTCCTTTTGTCCTTTTTCACATATTCATGCATGTTCTTTTCTTGTGGTGCTTCTAAATTGAGGTTTTCCCGGAAATACTCTGATTGCTGAAATCTTGTTAGATGCTAATCCCCTTGAATTGAATATTCTGGCGAGGAATTTTATCATTCAAGGCCTATCTTCTAGACAGAATAATCCTTCAGAATCACCATCTTTTGAGGCAGAAATTTATCCTGTGTATATTGCTCTTTCCCGTCACTTGGTTCCATTTACAAGCATACTGTATTTTTTAGTCTTGAGTAAAAATTTATTCTAAATCATATATTACAGTATGCTTGAGTTTTCATGAGCATCAGCAGACAAATATCCTGTTTTGTGGCTGCTCTTAAAGAGGAAGGCCATAATCTGGAGTTTTCTCTAAAATGTCTTGATGCCGTTAAGGCAGGATGGTACAAAAGAACTCTAGTTCAGAAGGCTTGAGAGTAAAACTCCGATTTATTTCAAATACATCGCTCTTTTATAGAGAGCATCGTCCAGACCAATTCCACTGGTCCCAGAGTAAAAACACCATTGGTGTGCAGTGAATGACGCTCAGTGGCAGAACTTATCTATAAACCATGTGAAGAACAAGAGAGATAAAGAATTATTTACATTCTTTCCCAACTGTTTCTCAGGCTTCTGCCTGGTTAGAAACTTTCTGTTTTCTCTCTGACTGAACTGAGAATATCTACAATGTCTAAGTGCAATAGGCAGTACTTTCACTAAATCTAAATTTTTGGAGGACAAGTGTGTCCTCACTTTGTAGTAGATTACTTGATTATTATAGTCTTCGTTCCCAGTGGCAATAAAACTAGGATTTGGTTGCTATATCACTTTTTCTACTAGCCTTGTTTTGCAGAGGTCAACTGCCAGTGAAGCTGAAGTATTTTTATTCCTAACTTTTGCAGTTGATGGCAGAGATGAGGGTTAGAATTATCTACCTTTGAAAGATGCAGAAGTCTGTCTATATTTTAAAGACAAAAGATTTAACTGGCTCTTTGGAAATGCATGTAGTGTGCAAATGAATGTATTCAACAGTCTAAAATAGTTTTATTTTTCTTGGAAGAGCAAAATTTGGTTTAAGCATATTTCAGTAACGCTTTTGGATCATCTGTTTTGAGGGCCTACTCTATGTATGTTGTTGCTAGTTAATATTCAGTATTGGGCTTTGTATGCAATTTAAGCAAAGGTAAAGGTCTTGTTATAGAAACGTCTCCTAAAGATATAAAATACTGTTTTAAAATGACTGTTGCTGATCCTTCAGTGATATTTGTTCTGTTTGACAAATGTATTGTGAAAGTACAAACTGCTAACAATGTTATTAGCATCAGAATGATACAAGATCACCATTACTGAAAAAGTGGAGCAGTTCTGGAGTCTGCAAAGATAAACTGTGCTAATTACCAAAACTATTTAGTAGACCCAAACTTGGTCTCACTTTTTTTACCCATCTAGCTGTGGTTTGTTTGGGTTTTTTCCTACCCTGTAAGTGCTCAGAGGTTAATACATTTTTTGTTGGCCAATTAATTAAGTTTGGTTTCTGATAACTATATTGCTTCTCAGTATTGCTGTGTGTATTGGGTTTGTGTGGCAGGGTTTTGGTAGCTGGAGGCCGTGGAGTGGCTTCTGTGAGAAGCTGCCAGAAGCTTCTGCTATGTCAGATAGAGTCAATGCCAGATGGCTTTAAGATGGACCTGCTGCTGGCAAATCAGCAATGGTAATAGTACCTCTGTGATAACATTTAAGAACGGGGGAAAACTGCTGCACAGCAGCTGGAAGAGAGGAGTGAGAATGTGTGAGAGAAACAATTCTGCAGGCTCCAAGATCAGTGGAGGAGGTGCTCCAGGTGATGGAGAGGGGGCTGTGACCCTGAGGGAAGCCCATGCTGGAGCAGGTTTACTGGTAGGACTTGTGACCCCCATGAAGGACCCACGCTGGAGCAGTCTGTTCCTGAAGGACTGCACCTCATGGAAAGAAAAAGTGGAAGGGACCCACACTGCAGCAGTTTGTGAAGAACTGCAGCATGTGGGAAGGACCCGCATCAGAGACATTAATGGAAGACTGTTCCCTGTGGGAGGGATCTCACATTGGAGCAGGGGAAGAATGTGAGGAGGAAGGAACAGGAGAGACATGTAATGAACTGACTGCTACCCCCATTCTTTGTGATGCTGGGGGATGGAGGGGTGGGGGAATAGAAAAATTGTGAGTAAAGTTTAGCCCAGGAAGAAGGGAGGGGTGGAGGGAAGGTGTTTTAAGATTTGATTTTGTTTTCTCATTATCCCACTCATTTAATTGGTAATAAATTAATTTTTCCCAAGTTGAATCTGTTTTGTTTGTGATGGCAATTAGCGAATGATCTCCCCTCTCCTTATATCAACTCATGAACTTTTCATTGTCTTTTTCTCTACCTGTTCAGTTATGGAGGGGGAGTGATAGGGCAGCTCTGTGCACACCTGACATCCAGCCAAGGTCAACCCACTAAACTATGATAATGTTTTTTACCTCTCTTAGATGTTCCTGACAGTGTTACTTATCAATACAATTGAAGTATTGAATTATATATTAACATCCATATAGCCATCTTTAAAAATGCTGATATCACTTTTTGTGGGCAAGGTAAGCAGACCTACTTTAATTCCATAACCCTGTAATCAATTTTGGTGAAATGCTAGTTCTTAATGCAGTTCTTGGTTTTATTTACAGAATTGAAATGGCTCAGGAGACAAACCAGACCCCAGGGCCCATGCTGTGTAGTACAGGATGTGGATTTTATGGAAATCCTAGAACAAATGGCATGTGTTCTGTTTGCTACAAAGAACATCTTCAGCGACAGCAGAATAGTGGTAGAATCAGCCCAATGGGTAAAGGTTTGAGATGTTTTTTTTGTGTGTGCCTTGAAAACATAATGTATAGGTGATGAGATGTATTCAGGGGATCTTCTGATAGCTGCATATTAAAACTATGAATATCAAAGGGGATAATACTTTAAATCACAATAAAAATGCTTTTTTATGTAATGTATTCTGGCCTACCTGGTGTTGAACCCTAAGTTGGATTTTACTTACTCTCTGCTACAGTTGTGTTCTTATACAATCCTTGTGTTTTGGTCATTAACAATATAGTCTATATTAAGAAGATGCAGTAGAATAAGGATTTGAAATGGTTCATAACTGTATTAAAATCTGCTTGACTAACTTGTATTCTATGCTTTGCTTATAATTAACTTCTCAAATTTCTGTTATATAGGGACATCTAGTGGTTCAAACAGTCCTACCTCAGACTCTCCATCTGTACAGAGAGCAGATGCTAGCTTAAGCAACTGTGAAAGTACTGCTAGTAGCACATCTGGAAAATCAAGGTAAGATTATAGAATCATTTAGGTTGGAAAAGACCCTTAAGATCATCAAGTCCAACCATTAACCTAACACTGCCCAGTCTACCACTAAACCACGTCCTTAAGTGCCACATCCACATGGCTTTTAAATACCTCCAGGGATGGGGACTCAACCACTTCCCTGGGCAGCCTCTTCCAATGCTTGACTACCCTTTCAGTGAAGAATTTTTTTCTAATATCCAATCTAAACCCCCCCTGGCACAACTTGAGGCCATTTCCTCTTGTCCTATCCCTTGTTACTTGAGAGAAGAGATCAACTCTCACCTTGCTACAGACTCCTTTCAGGTAGTTGTAGAGAGCAATAAGGTCTCCCCTGAGCCTCCTTTTCTCCAGGACAAACACCCCCAGCCCCCTCAGCTGCTCCTCTTCAGACTTGCTTTCTAGACCCTTTACCAGATGAAGGTATTATTTTGAGGTTTGAATGAACTGTGAGTATATAGCAAGTTAAAGTAACATTGCCCTATTACAGAGAGTTTCTGCAGAGGAAAAAGTGACAGTGCACTTTACAGTGCTTTATGAATCTTTATAAATTAGGACTAATTAGTGTTTGGTATTGGACTACTACATTTACAAGGACATTTCTGGTTTATCTGGATAAATATTTGCTACAGTTTGCCTAGTTTCTTCTAGGTAAGAGAGATAGAAGTACAGGTCAAGAATGTGTATCAATAATAACTGATCGGGTAGTCTGATGGATTTTGACAGTTTAAGCTCTTATGTACTCTAAACTAATGTAATCACCCATTTCACTGTATGTAAACAGAAATGTGTCTGTTGCCGCTTTGCCTGTAATGCAGCAAATGACAGAAATGAGCATTTCAAGAGAGAAGAAATTATCACCAAAAACAGACATCGAGCCAGGTATGTTTGCAGAGTAACACTGGATACAACTGGCTTAACAGAAGCTGACAATTTATTTACTTTCTCTTAAGCAGGCATCTCTGTGGTGATTGTCTTGAGGAACTGTTAATTATGAATGCTTCTTGAGTATTAATACTCTCAGAATCAAGAAGACTTACTAGTGCCAGAACATAGTTTTCAGACGTGTTCAATTTTAGTGCATAACTTTTGACACTTGAGGAGCATTTTGGCTATCAAACCTTCATTTTTAAAAATAAGACACTTAAATTGTATCTGGGTGCAAGATGTTCAGTTTTGAAGTCAGTGTTGATTTCTTTATAAAGCCTAGCAGTACAGTTTCTGCTGACTTGTGGCAATCAAATTGGTTTGTTGCATTTGAAGAACAGGGTTCTTAATTCTGTTCTACAGAAGGAGGAGAATGGGGCAGAAGGGAATACTTGATTTAAAATAATAGCAAAGACTGCTAAAGGGTCTTGGACTAAGTGAGTAATCAGTAGATATAACTGAAATGCTGTTGTGTGGATATAGAGTACTTACAGCGTTAATTGCTTATTAAGAATGTTCAACTAAAAAAGCAAGTGAATTCATGCTTATTATATGACAGTTTATTCAAATGGATATCTTAACGTACCTGTTTGATCTCTATAGATATTGATACTTGTTATTTTTAATAGTTCTGAAAGTCTTAAAACATTGAAAGCTGATTTTTAATAGGAAAATGTATTTTCTACAACTGAAGATAAAATTACTTCTTTTGTGTTGAAAATTCCAGAATGTACCACTCAGTACTGTATACGTGCATCTTTGTCTTTGTTTAGGACTGCTGTTACAGCTACTAGTTAATTGCTCGGGTTTTGTAAACGTGTTTTTACTATTTTAGTTGTCATGTTAAGTTAAAATTGTGACATTAAATAAATTACAGTTGCTTTTACTATATTCTTTTTTGGTTATGTACAGACTGAGAAGATTTTTACATGTTTCAGCTTCCTGTAACTTGTGTTATCTTAAGAGACTTATTGTATGTAACTTAGAAATTTATACTTTGTTACAATATTTATAAACCCATATTGTCTTGTTATGTATTGGTACCTCAAAATGTGATAGGCAGGAAAGAAAAACATAAATTGGTAGCCGTGGTCAAGTAATATCTGAATTCTGTCTTATTAAAACTACCAATAGGGATTTATCATTTTGCTAACTATGAAGGCTAGTCTTCTATTTGTGTTGACTCAATATTCTTTTTTTTATAACAAGGCAACTAAATGGTAGTGTCACACACAGCACTCTATTGATTAGAATGTGAGGAATAAAAAAATCCCTAAAAGCAACTCAAGATATTAATCTTGCAGCTTGAAACTTGGAGTTGAAACCAGTCAAAGCTCTGTTAAAGCTTGCATAGAGATAATTGGGAAAATTACTATGGAATTTAAAAGTTTGGAAAACAAACTTCAATAACAAAATTGTCTTCCTTAGTACATATCCTTAAATTCTTGAAACAGTCTTCAGCTGATCTAAAAGTTAAGTTGGGAGCAGATTTCAGACAGCACAGAATAGTGCCTTTGTCTGCTGTTTTTAGATTACAAAGGGTTTATCAGACATTTAAGATACAGCAAGTGTTTGCTGTATTTACTAGTATATTGATCCTGTGACTAGTATATTGATCCTGTTTCTTGCAGTAACAAAAAAGCTGGCCTCAACTTTTTATAAATCCCTATTGTGTTTGGGTTAGTTTATTTTTTTCCTTTCTCTTTTTTTCTTCAGCATCCAATATGTGTTGGTCTCTCTTGAGGAGGAGCTGAAACAATAGTAGATAATTAATGTCACCTTGTAAAACAAAGCTAATACTTTCTATGAGATGTTATTTTCTAAGCTAATGCCTGTCATGATGTTGCTAATGAAAATACTGTAGTTTTATCTGTAGTCTCACCTTGGCAATTTAATTTCATAACTGTCTATTAGATGGTAGGTCTGGAACAAACAATGTAGCTTTCAAGCAAAGTAGGTTTGGGTTTTTCTTTAATTGTCTAACATACTATATTTTAACTTGTAGTTTCTTAGTTCAAATTTGTTGCTTGTTGTAGTTTTGTAATTGAATTGTGGCATGTGTTCAGTTGCTTATCTGATGATCTGTGTAGGAGTCAGTGAAATATAAATGCCTTTCTATCAAAACTCCATAATTGGGCATTAATTATATCATGCATTTTATAGGCTTTTGATCTGCTTCTGCACTTCTTAACTAAGGATTTAATTTTTGTTCAGTCTTGACCATAGTCAGAATATACCCAAAATATTCTGGAGATATTGTTCATATTTGTGGGGTTTTTTCCCATGCTAATTTACAGGAATTAAATGCCAAAACCCCCTTATATAACTAATTTACTTTCCTTGTGTTGATTATTGCATCAGAACAATACTATTACTAAGTTGGTGAGGCATAGTAGAGGCCTCGAAGAAACCTGTTTTGTTTAAGCAGATTTTTAAGTGGCGATCAAAGATTCATACAAGAGAGCTGACTTGCATATTGAGCACTAAAACTCAACTGTTGTGAAAACAAGTATGTTTAAATAACCATACTGTATCAAGTCATAGCCTATTTCTAGCATTTTTGTGGGTCATTACCTTTCTGAATAAATCTCTCAGGGTTGTTAGTGTTTCCAGACTTAATTAGTCTAGTGTGCATATCAAAAAACTTATTTTTCTGAACCCAGTAATAGCTTTGTTTTACAGAGCAGTGTGGTGAATTATCACTGAAGTCACAGCTATTCAATAGTGCTGCCTATGAAGAAGGTGAACTGGAACTTTAAATGTATATGGTCTTGTGTAAAATAAGTGTTAAAATTCTTCCACAAACACTGTTAACTTACAGTCTTATTCCATCCATGTTGTAGGTTGCTCTTCCCATTCCTGAATGTTGTCATATAATGAAATTTATGAGATGATGGTTAGATCATTAGTCTTTTGGCTCCATACCAAGCCAATATGACATGTTATTTTAATGTTCAACACCAAAGCTATCTTACATGCAAGACCTTGTTAAGGGATGCCCTCACATATGTTACAGATAAAACCAGTAGCTATGAAATTTACAGTGTGTTACAGAGAATATTCTGAGTCATATGCTGAATATCTTATGAGCTATTGAATGTTCAAGATGATAGATTATATTGCTTGCTTCTTGTTTTAATATCTGATTCTGATTTGTTTTCAAACATGGCTATAGTATTTAAATGTGGGTGCTATCTGTAGACAGTTCCTTTGTGGCTGTCAATAAAATCATCAGATATATCAAATTTGTCTTGTGTTCAAAATTAACTTCCCATTTTCCATGTCTGCTGTAGCTCAAGTAGATGCCCTCAATTGAAACAATTCTGAAATTGAGCTAATAATCTCCTTGAAGTCTTGAAGCCGTCTATCTTGAAGAATAAGTCTGGAGACCAAACTGCTGGTCCTGTGTTTATTGCGAATAACGTGCTACTGTATCTTTTTGAGACGTGCAAAAGGCATCAAGTATTGATGGCAGCCAATCTAAACCATATTTTAGTGTGATACTTAACAGGGGTATCTGTTATATTGATGTAAGAGTAAAAATATTCAGTGTGCCTGTTGAGCATGTGAGATATTAGTTTTATGCTGCAGAATAATTTTATCCCAGTTCTTTGGCATCAAATTGAATATACAGTTTATTCTTTAACATTTTATCATGAACAGGTAGATCAGCATAGCAGTTGCAGTTTCTAAAAAATAAAATATTTATTTTCAAGCTTGATAAAGCATAATAAATACTGTCCATCTTATTGACTCAAACTTTATATACAAGTCAATTGTGTTAATGTGCAGCACAAGAATTATGTAATTTGTAGTATAGTCTTCAGTTCTGGTGCTGTGGATGTTTTTCTGATGACTTTTGGGTGCTCTTTGTCTATTACCTTTGTCCCTTCTGTTTTATTTTTTCCAGCCCTTCTGTGGTAGTAGTTGGGGTTTACCTTCATGTAAAAGTAGTTAGAACGCTTAAAGCTTTTTTTTTTTTTTTAATGCTTTCAGGCATTTCACTCTTCATTGGCATGCTTACTGCTTCCTATTACTGTGGAAGTCAATGCATTTTTTTAAACTGATAAGGTACTATTTTGGCTAATTTGTTTGAGTATACAGGAAGCTATTAAAACCTTGCTGTTACTTTAGTAGTCTTTTCTGGATTAACTTAATTTATTGCCAATTTAAAAAATAGAGCATGGTAGTAATAAACAAATAAAACTAAAAATGCCATCCCTTCACCCCTTTCTTCCTAGACACATCTTTACTTCCAGACTCTTCTACCTCCTCTCCCTATATTCTGAGTAATGCAGGAGGAATTGGTTGCAGTCAGTTCATAACTGTTCTCTGCTGTTCCTTCCTTCTTGCACATTTTACCTGCTCCAGCATGGGCCCCTCACACAGGATAGAGTCCTTTATTAACTGCTCCAGCTGTATTGGTTTGTGTAAGGAAAGCCACTGTCAGTTCTGACAGTCTAGTTACAGAACCACAGAATGGGTCAGGTTGGAAGGGACCAGTGGGCCATCTGGTCTGACCTCGCTCTTCAATCAGGGTCATCCTGGAGCACATGGCATAGGATTGTGTCAAGGCAGTTCCTGAATATCTCTAGTGAGGGAGACTCTACATCCTCTCTGGGCAAACTGTCCCTGTGCTCAGTCACCTGCACAGTGAAGAAGTTCTTCCTCATGTTCAGGTGGATCTTCCTGTGTTCCAGTTTCTGCCCAATGCCTCTTGTCCTATTGGTTTGCACAACCAAGAAGAGCCTGACTCCATCCTCTTGACACCCTCCCTTCAGATACTTATAGACATTGATGAGGTCCCCTCTCAGTCATTCCTTCTCGAGGCCGAACAGGCCCAGCTCCCTCAGTTTTTCCTCATAAGAGAGGAGCTCCATGTCTCTTGTACTGAGGAGCCCAGAATTAGACACTACTCCAGATGTGGCCTCACCAGGGCTGAGTAGAAGAGCAGG